CCTCCATACACTGTAAGGTGCCAGGTTGGCTCTTTATTGGCTCGTGGCAATCACATCTGTAGTTGCCATGGCGACAGGATGAGAAGAAGCTACCTGTTTGATTACAGCACATCTGCATGCCTCCCTCCATCTTTCTGTCCTGGTTCCTCCAGGCTGCTTCAACCTCTTCATCACAGGTAGAGCAGGGTGGTGTGAAGGAGGAGGAGGAGGAGGAGGAGGAGGCAGCTCAGGGATGATGTCACCATGTCTGCCAGGCTCCTGCTCACCGTCCTTTAGCACCCGCCCCCACCCCACAGCTGGTGACGGGTGGACCGAGACGCTCTCGGGCCACTTTCATCTAAGGTGACACGTTTTCGACACGCATGACCTCGTCCCTCGCCGCCGTCGAACACGCCGTTTTTGTCTGGCCGAGCCTGGCCCAGCCTCCTCACACGTGCATCCTTTTGTCTCTCGTTGTGCCACCACAACAGCATAATCCCGTTATTACTCCACAATGCTCATTCCAACACAAAGATGTTCGCCCACTAAGGCTTGTCCTCCAGACGAGATTACGGGATGGTTAAACGGGGCTGAATCTTCTTCAGACGATTTAAATCAACATAGGAAGTCTCACATGTCTGGATGTTTGTTTGTTTTTTTCTTGTACTGAGGTATGGAAAGTGTCATCTCAGAGAAAGCTGACATATCACCCAAATGCGATCATGTTTTTACCTGGGGTTACTTGTCTGTCTGTTAGCAAAATAATTCAGAAACCACTGGACAATAAATGGTTAACACACTTTCGTAAAGTCATCACTGAATCGCTGTGTCCAAATCCGAAGACTCCTCCGATGCGGCCGACAAACTCGTCCTCCTTTTCCCCCGATTTGAAGGACTGGTCCGATGGGTCCTTCTTGGCCCACCCTATCCCACAATGCAATGTGGGTAGACTGGAGATATTTTTCTGCTAATGGTGGACGAAGCGAGAGAAAGGAGTACAGTCTTAAATAAAAATCTGGTGGTATAAAAATCAGAACTTTCAAGTGGTCGTGTTGTTAATGCTTTAATGTTTTTAATATTATTCTTATCAGACATGAAACCAGCTGATATATGAAATATACGTGCACCTACAGCAGGTCCGTTCTTCAAATGTTGTCTTTAAGCTAATTTTGTGATATTAATAACAAGGGTTGGGTGATAAATCGATTTAAATGATTAATTCAAATTTGCCATTTTTAAAGATTGAATTTTGGGAAAAACTGGATTTTTTTCCTACCATTTCACTCTTTGGGGCTTCTGTAGTTCAGAGGTCAGCCCACCTGTCCATCAAGATGCTTGGTATACATACACTACATGACAATATGGCGGCTGGATCTACTTCCCACAAAAGGCACTGTGTCTTCAGTTTTCTGGAACTGGTTAGGTTTCACAACCTCGGACTTGTAGCAACGAACACCTCACTGCAAAAACTGTTTGAAGGCTCTTGCTACAAAAAGTAGGAGTACAACAAATTTGTTCCAACACCTGAAACAGAGGCACTCCATTAATCGGGAAACAAAATCGATTAAAATCGAAAATCGAATTTGGGATGGGCCATATTGCCCAGCCCTATTAATAACGCTAATATATTGATATCTTCTAGTTTCGATCTATTTTTGCTTCTGTTTAGCATCCTCCAAATTCACAATCACTTTTTTCTGGTCTTTGTGGTTGGGCAATATTGGCATAAAAATTAATCACGATTAATTGTGGTATTTAACGATTTTTTTTGATGGCCTCCCTTCTCCCCTTATAGCCATCCTTTTGAACATAACAATAAATCGGGAAGTTTCTTAGCTAACCAACTTAAAATAAATAAATAAAAATCAACTATATATGGTGTTAAAGACATAAATGGGAATACATCTTACGATCAGGAAAAAGTAAATAGTGGTATTTAACGATTAATTTGACGATTAATCCCCTGGAGTCGCTGGTCACCCTTATGTCCTGGTCACATGACCAGTTTAGTGGGAAAGATTTGCTCTTCATAAAAATCTGTTCCAAATTGTTTCAAAATTACAGACTTCAGGCTGTACATCAAATTTTAAATTATGTTGATAGATAAATAAATTACAGGACTTTTTTATGTTCATATTTGAAGTGGAGAGGAGCACAGAGCTGCTGACATTAATCGTATTAATCGTCAAGTGCCAAAAAACAATCGATTAATGTTTTTCTGACGATTAATTGCAGACGATACGATTACGCCCAACCCTACTACCAAAGACCCAGCCCACCTGGACCGGGTAGGCCAGGTCCTTTGGAGGACCCAGCCTCTGAATTTGGACACAGCCTACATCTAAAACTTATTAACTTTTGGCAACAAGTCAATTCAATTCAAAAATACTTTATTGATCCCAAAGGGAACACAGATACCACATGATACCATAACACAGCTACCATAGTCAATGAACCGTAACAACACAAAAACATGTATTTTCTTGTCATCTTTCTGGATATTAAGCTAAAGCTTGTAGCGGTAGCATCATTTACAACACATACTCTAACAGCACAAGATTGTGAAAATCATTTACAAGGTTTGACCTGTAACTCCATCCCTGCTCATCACTTTAATCTTCCATATGATGTGCAATCCTCTAAAGAATGCCAGACCTTCATTATCACCTTGCATTCATGGTGTTTTGTTCCAGAGCAGCCAAGCTCTTATCTCCTAATTAAACTAGTAAAACAGTATATCTTGGCCTGCAATTTTCACATATGTAATTGTCTCCCGTGCTAATGATTGGGTGAATATTAGTGGAACAGCTAATTAACGCGTTGGTGTGTCAGAATGTCTTATTTAAATTCAATTATAGAGCTGCAGCCATGACTACCTACTGAGCGGCTCCTTCGGCAGCGAGCGACACCACAGGAGTGATTGATTTAGCGCCTCTGCCTCTGTACCTACGTCCCACCCCTGTGGTATCTCAAGCTACTGTCAACGTTAATGCAGCTCGTAAACAATACTGCTTAATTAATTATTAGCAAACTCATTGAGACCTTGTCCACATGAGAACTTCTTTTTTCCAAAACCAGTTTTTTAATTTGCTTGCTTTTGATGTTATTTCTAAAAATATACACTGCCTGGGCAAAGACCAGCCCTGACCAACTGCAGCAGCCCCACATCATAGCACTGCCCCCACAGGCATGTACAGTAGACACTATGTTGGGTGCATCCTCCAAGACGATGGGTCCCCACTATCCTTCCAGTTTTTAATAATGTGCTGGACAGTTCTTAACCCAATTTTAATAGTTTCTGGAATTGAGTAGTTTTCTCTGCTTGATGCCAATGATTTGATCCTTCTCAAACAGACTGACATATTTTCCACAACCACAGGATGGGTCTTTCCACAGGGTTGTTTAAGAAATGAGAAGCAACTCATTGCAACAGTTGGGTTAAATAACTTGTTGCAGCTGAAAGACAATCACCCATGCAGTAATTATCTAATAGGAGGCTCCTACCTGTTTGCTTAGTTAAATCCAGGTGGAAACTTTTTTTGGCCAGGAAATGTACACAAAACCATATCAGCAAATGTTTTCATCCTCATAATGCTGGACAATAATATCGACATACATCGCGATAGAAAACATTTCAAAACAGGTGACTTTTACCAGTGGTTCCCAAAGTGTGGGGCGCGCCCCCTGGKGGGGGGAGGTGGAGGGGGTAATTCTCAGACATTGTTAGCATGGACAGGTTTTTGATGGAGATTTATTCTTAATCAACAAACCTTTATTTTTTTTCCTCTCAGGGTGTTGTTCATGTTTAAAAACCCACTTTGCACAGAAATACTTGAAGCAATGTTGAATATTTTCACAAAGTTAAAAAAAACATTAAAATAAATAATTACTGCTAAGACGTTTAAGAGG